AGTGATAAGAACCAGAGATTAATGATCAATGGACATTTTTCTGAGCTGAAAGAAGGTTTGTAGTGAAGTTTCCTAGGGGTTGGTATTAGGACCCTTGTTTTTTCTAATATTTACTAATGATCTGAATCTTGATCCTGATGTGCATGGGCCACTTTCAAAGTTGGTAGATGACATGATTCTTGCAAGAATTGTAAACTAAGAGGACAACAGAGTGGAACAAGTTGGAGGAATGAGTGGATAGGTGGCAGATGAGGTTCAGTGCAGAGAAATATGAAATGATGCACGTTATTAAGAACATTGAAAGACAATATAAAATAGGGTTACAATTCTAAAGGAGTTCCAGAATCAGAGGGTATATGAGTGCACTGATCATTGAAGGTATCAGCATAAGTAGAGATGGCATTTAACAAAGCATGCTGTATTCTTGGCTTTAATAGGGGCACAGAGTACAAGAGCAAGGATGTGATGTTGAACCTGTCCAAGGCGTTGGACCTTAGCTGGAGTACAGTTGTGGGCGCATCTTTCTAAGAAAGATGTAAATGCAGTGGAGAGTAGAAGTGATTTAGAAGAATGTTTCCAGGATTAGGAAATCTCAGTTATGGAGGCCAGATTGAAGAAGTTGGGACTGCACTCCTTGGAAAGGAGATTTGATACAGGCTTTCAAAAGTCATGAGTGGGTTGGCCAGAGTTGATAGGAAGACGCAGTTCCCACTCACAACTTGGGAAATGGAAACGAGGGTGGATAGATTTAAAAATGTGCAAAAGCAGCAAGGGTGACACAAAAAAAAAAGCTTTTTCACTCAGTGAGTAGTTAGGATATGGGAACGCATTGCCTGGAAGTGTGGTGGACACAGGTCCAATTGATGTGTTCATGAGGGCATTCAATAGAAGTAGTATGCAAGGGTATGGGAAAAAGCAGGAGATTGGCACTACATAACTGTACTTATTTGAAGAGTCAATGCATGCATGATGGTCTGAATGGCCTCCTATGGCATTTCCTTACTGCAAATTTATACCACACTTCACTGTTGGATTTAGTCAGTTATCTATTACATTCTTTGGATCCCTTTCTTTTATTACAACTCACCCATTAACTTAATTTTCCCACTGCTGTTATCTTGCATTTGTTAGTCTACCCTGTAGTGTTGGGTTTAAAAAATTGAATATCTCCAAACCAGACTGTTAAGGGTTAATTGGTCAAGACAATGAGCAATCGAAGACAGTGGAAAATTACATAAAAAGCAGGCCTGGTGTAAAAGACAGCCTGTTTTGGGTGGGAGCCAACTCCATAACTTTGACTGTCCATGGGAACCCGGTGAGCAACACGGTGGCTCAGTGGTTAACTGCTGCTTCACAGTGCCAGGGACGTGGTTTCAATTCCACCCTCAGGTGACTGTCTGTGCGGAGTTTGCGCATTCTCCTCGTGTCTGCCTGGGTTTTCTCCAGGTACTCTGGTTTCCTCCCACAGTCCGAAGATGTGCAGGCTAGGAGGATTGGCCATGGTAAATTGCCTGTCGTGTTCAGGGATGTGTAGATTAGGTGGGTTATAGGGGGACGGATCTGGGTGGTAGGACTGAGGGTTGGTGTGGACTTGTTGGGCCAAAGGGCCCGTTTTCACACTGTAGGGATTCTATGAATTCTAATATGGAGCCATCTGGAGATGTTTACAACTTGTTTTTTACATAATGTTTGGAAATGTACTGAGAACTACTACAGTATGGTGATAGAGTATGTAACCAGAATAACATTAATATCAGGAACTTTGTCCCACTCTTTGGACTTTTATCATTGGACCAGATTCAGGAGACTGGGGCCATGGACCTTCACTGTTGCACTGGGGTTCTGACACCACTGCCATGGAATCTGAGACAGAGCTCAAAGTGTCAGCCACCCAAAGTCCCCGGCATGAAAACAGGGCAGAGACTCATTAGTCTCTGTGTATATTAAGTAGATTAAACTAACAAATTAGCTATATATTGAAGTGCACATGCCTTCTTGTAATCAGATCTTAAAAATCCCATTTCACCTAACCATATAACCAGTGGCTCACATTTCTTCTGTTGATATCATCAGCAAGTGTAACAGAACTTTTTCTGTCTTTAGCGCTAATCAAATAATCTAGACTACAATGAGCCCATTGTTGATCCTGACACTGCAACAGCTCTATATAGCACCCACCTTTAGTGTAAAAAAAATTTTTTTAAATTTTTCACAGAAAAAGAAGGGGGGATGTCAAGCCAAAGGAAGACCAATTGGGAAGGGTGACTAAATGTGTTTTCAGAACAGTCTTAGAAATGAAAAGGAAGGCAGAGAGGTGAAGCAGGTTAAGGGGGAAATAAGACATGCAACAAAACGTCATTGGCTAAAGAACAGTGAAGGGGCAAGGACTGGGCTGAAATCCATATTTTAACTTCTAACAATGCAACATATGATAGAAAAGATAGTAGTCTGGTTCCAAAGTATATACATTATCTACTAGTTCAGTCAAACCTTTGAAATATCAATTGATTTTCCACTTTGGACATCCACAATCATTGGATCAAAGCCTTTTGCGATTCTAAGAAAATTTTTCGCTTGTTCCAGGCTCTTCTTTTGTTTTGCTTGTAAAGCAGCTTTCATGTACAGTTTCTTCCTATTCTGAAGAAATTCCAATTGTTGCTGAGCTATAGAAAAATATAAAAAGTGATCAGGAGGAATACAGTATAACTGAGAACTCCCTCATTACAGTTGTTAAATATTTTGAAATCAATGCAAGTAAAATACCTCAATGGCCAAATATCTTAAGGTTTACTGTTCATGCAGCTTACTTTAAACTTCCCATCCAGCTAGATTGCAAATGTATAAAGGAGAAGAACATAATTCCCATGTTGCTTGCTCAACTAAGATTTTGATTTGATATGACATGCAGGGAAGAACTGACAGAAGATCAAGTGCTTCCGAGTGCATGTACATCTGACTAGCAGCATTGTTATTCCAATTAATTAAGGTGATTAGCTGTAGATTAGCCTTTTCATACAAACCACAGAATTTTATCACATCTATTCATAAACCTAAGAATTGGGATGTTGCAGTGAGTAGAAAGAAAATATACCGACTGAACCGAGCTGAATCAAATGATCACTTGGTGTTGGCTTCTTTAACGGTTTTGGGGATTGTCCTTCCTCTGATGCAACTGGTAATATCAGTGTTGGTTCAGCTGTTTGTACTCCATGACCTGGAAGCTTTATTGGCTTCTTTGCAACAGGAGGTTGCGTAGCTGGCTGAGGAGATAAAGAGCACAAGTTAAGCAAGAGTTCAGATCTATGACAGAATTCAAGCTCCTTGAATGAATTCAGTTTAAAGCAGCAGCACGATGAAAATGTTTTATTATCAGCCACTAAAAAAAGCATTTCTTCACACCAAAAATCTAATCTGAAGTAGCTGTGTATGGGGTATAATACGATGTCTACTGAAAAAGTGAAGTGTAATTTCATTGAAATATTGAAGGAACTAATATTATCAAAAAATAGTTTACGATCTACCAGTGTGTCAAAAACTGAATGAAATCAGGTATAGATCGATGCAATTACGTACATAATTAAGTTATCCAAATACTTTCTAATCTTGAAAACCACTTCCCCTTCAGTTTCTAAATTTTTACATAAAGCAACACCTCTCTGACTGAGCCACTCCTTTTTTTAAGCATGTAACAATTGGAAAATGTTTTGGTTTTCCCGCCTTGAAAAAGGAACAACCTGATTCTGTTTGACATCTATTAAGACTGGCCACTTAAGATTAGCTATTGGCCATTTACTGCAGAATAGTGCTTGTGTCAGACTGTCCTCTAGTAGAAAATATTAGATCATAGTGGTCCTAATTTCTGAAGGAAAGGATATTGTTTCTTTGGGAAAGGAGATGGAATTTAAATTTAGTATAACCAAAAATAAGCAAAGCTTAATAGAAAATATTCCACTTTGTGGAAGAGAAACCGAGTTTAACAAATCTTTTCGAATTCTTTGAGTAAAGGAGAACCAGTGGATATATTATGGATACCTGGATTTCAAACAGTATTCGATGAAGTGTTTGATAACAGCTTGTTGTCCAAGATTTGGACTCGTGGCTTTGCCAGTTATATATTAACATGGACGGAGGGTTAAAGGACATAAAAGGAGCAAGCAAGATAAATGGGTCACTTTCAGGCTAGCAGGCTGTTACTATTCGGGTGCTATCAGCAACAGAGCCAAGGCCTCAGCTATTCACCAAGCGGAATTCAAGTCTGTCCCTTACTGACACTCTACAAAAAAAAAGACTCCAACCAAGTTCAATCACATCTGACAATGCCTAAAAGGGGTAAAAAGAAAATCTTAGACCAATTAGGGGAAATCAAATTCTGAAAAATCCTTTCAAATTCCATAAGGAAGTGAGCAAGATCCAAGAGAACACTAAAAGATTGACGCAGCCAATTTCAGTGAACCTACACCTTCTAAAAATCAAAATATTGGTCTATCAGCAGCAACTTCGATTGTAGAATGGGTTGTTGCCTTTTGAAATTCTGCAAAAAACTCACAATGGCAATCTATCCTAAGGGTCAACAAATCTAAGAATAAACATTTCCTAATATCTATTTGCTCTTGCAATTCATGCTTTTGCCTCCAGTCCCCTCATGCATAACTAGTTCACATAATGACTCTTGAACAGAATTGATCCTATTATACTGCAAAGAGCTTAAACATATTCTCTCAAAATCTATGCTTTCTAAATTTAAAAAAAAAATCCCAGTGCCCAACGTTATTCTAGTAACTAAAGACACAAATTTAGAAGTAATAAATGTCCTTCATCCAGACCTGAGTTACTGCAGTACATCTAGCAGATGGTACACACTGCACCTTTCAAACTCAAGAACTCTACCATCTAAAAGGACAAAACAGCAGATGCATGGGATTCCCCTCCAAGCCACACACCATTCTGACTTATCAATACGTTGCCATTCTTTCCCTGTTACTGGGTCTAACAGCACCAAAAAAAGGGCAGGGGGTAGGGGTGAAGAGCATGGTGGTGAAAAAACAGAGGATTGTGTCCAGCTGTCCTCAGTGAAATAGTTTGGCTTATACAAAGAACAGCCACCTTTGGCAATAATCTAGAGAGATGCTGGCAACACACCTTCATATCAGCAAGAATGGAGCGAGGAAAAGTGTTATTTGTTCTGCATGTTTGAATGTAAGCAATACCTCATCTTCTGCTACCACGTGCTTCTCCTCCTCCTCCTCCTCCTCAACTGCCGCAGTCACTAGTCTGGATGCAGTTTCAAGTGTTCCAACAATGCTGCGATCTCCAGAAGCTCCTTCCACACCTGGTATTGGTGGAAATCCTAAAGGAAGGCCAACTAATAGTTTAAAGCCAACATCAATTAACACAACTTAAAAATCCTTCCCTGATTATTGACGATAATTTCCAACACTTTTATATCACATGTAATTTCAAGTGTTAAAGCAGCCAACAAAAAATACTGGAGATTACTGTGGGTCAGGCAGTGTCCATGGAGAGAGGGAGCAAGCTCATGTTTTGAGTCTAGATGGCTTCATCATTCATTTCTCTCCATGGATGCTGCCTGATCTTCTGTGATCTCTAGCATTTCATGCTTTCAGTCAGATTCCAGCATCTGCAATAATTTGCTCCTAATTCCAAGATTCCAAGTTCCCCTCCTGTGATGAATTAATACAACCTAATTTTAGTTTATGATGGTAATTTCAGTTAACACAGCTCCTAACAAACATATTGACTAACTGCTCAGTTATTTTTAAAAACATAGTTTCATAGCAAGTTTATTGAAGCAGTGATTGATGTCTGGGTTAGTATTTTAGAAACTTCAATAGGAAAGAAACCATAAGCCCATAAGATACAAGAGCAGAATTAAGCCATTCAGCCCCATTGGTGTCTCTTCCACCGTTCAATCATGTCTTGGTTGTCTTGAACCTATCTTGGCCAGCAATACTAAAACAGCATTGAAGAAGTCAATAGAACTAGATAAAGGCTACGAATAGAAGAAACAACCAGAACAATGCTGTCATTTTACATTTCTATGCTACTCTTGCAGCTACTTCATTTGTTCTTACTTTCTATCAATATTATTGCAAACTACTAAGTCACTGCTTACAAAATTTGAAATGTCGTAGCTTTATGGAGCAAAAAGTGTTCACACCTCATTGAAGTGTAACATCATGTATACCACGTAGAAAGCAATTTACTGAAGCAGTTAAATAGAATGTAAAACAAAAGTTAACAACAACACCACAGTGAAGTAAAATCTTACTACATTTAATAGTTTTGGGCAGACTGAAATATTGAATGTAATTACATTCATGTAAACTTTCCATTGCATATAAAGATAAATCATGATAGTACAAATGCACTAAGGTAAAGCAGTAAGGATTATATGTGCAAACATGGATTGATTTTTATGAATATACAAACGTTTATGTCATTACTTACCTGGTGGTATGGGAAGATCTGAAAAATCCACTTTCCTTCCAACTTTGTGAGCTCTGATGGCATCTTGATATTGCTTCAAAATGAACAAAAAGAAAACTGCTTTATATTTGATCAGGCTGAAGAACGGTGTCAAGTGGTTACTATTGAAATGTTAAAAATAAGCCATTTTTACATTCCTGTGAGTGATGTGCATTTGGGCATGTGTCATGAAGAAAAAGAATTCTACTTATAAGGGAACTCTCAGGTTTCCAGTGATAATACTGACTCCATGCATCTTTGGGCTCACTGATTTTGTGCTAAATATGATATTTTCTTTAGCAACTCTTGGACAAATGTTATAAAGCGAGGTCGACCCCTCCCCCTCTGATAACTAAATCTAAAACACTCAGAAAGGCTTGTTTCGCCCTATAATCTGTTAAAAGAAGTGTGAAAAGTGGGATAACTTGCCTCTCACCCCAATCTGTTATAGATAAGTAGTTAAATGAAAAAAAACTCCTGACACACATTCTATCATCAAGTAAAAATTTATTAATCTAACTCTAACAGGGAACAAATTAACTGAACTATTTAAAAAAAAAAACAAAACCCCTCTAACTACCATCTATTCCCAAATAAAACAAAATTTTAACAGTATGCTGTTCCAATAAATACCAGTCCCACTTATATAAACCAAAATAATAAAGAAAAATTCGAACTTTGTCCCTCAAAACTACAGCCAGGGTACATCTTCCGGAATTGTTCTGTGCCTTCTCTGCTGATCTTCAGTCAGGAACACCTTGTCCTTCGAAGTCTGGTGTCAGCAATATTAGCTAAGAGTGCCGCAGTACCTTTATTTAGTTGATGCCTTCTCAAAGGGCAGAGATGGCTGACCTCTTCAGATGGCACTTCGCTGTCTGCCGATTTTGCGAATGCCCTCTTTTTTTATACCCTCTATGACATATCAATTTCTTAGAACAGGATTTGTCCAATGTTGTCAAAACCATCAGATTTAAATTTAATTGATTTTTAGTCTCTAAGTGTCTGGTTCAATTAATAGGCTAAATTCAAACTGGTGGTCTTGATAACGAAACAAAACTGCTGCCTGGATGGCTAACCACACAGCCTTTCAATACAAAAAATGTTTCAATTCAGGTGCCCTCTGTGCACCTGCAAACCCATAAATTGCCAACAGACATTATTTCTTCTCTCCAGGCCTACAAAAAGCACAACATCTTTCAAAGGGACTACACATTCCTCCCTCGTCAAATTCTAATGTCCTGCCTTCCAATCCATAAGTACTCTACCCAACTTTACAATACAAACACTTCAAATAGTCTTTGAAAATCTTTTTGTGCCTCTTTTGCATGGGACCCAAGGAAAAGACTGTTGACGGCCTCTACCAATTTTCTCTGTACAGAACTCTCTTTCTTGAGGTCAGTTACAATCAAAGGTCCTCAAGTTTCTTTTCCTGTTCTTCTTGAGCTCCACATAGAATACATGTAATGTATGTAAAAGGCAATGTTTGGTTAAGATATATGTGAGCCCTCTGAAAGGTGGAGTTAGAAAAATTTATAATGGGAGTAGCAAAATGGCAAAAAGCTAAATAATTACTTTCTGCTTGTTTTCACTGAGGAAGATGCAAGAAATCTTCCAGAATTAGAGAACCAAATGATTATGAAGAACGTGGAGTTGAAGGAAATTACTATCAGTAAGAAGGTTTTACGAGAGAAATTATTAGGCCTGAAACTTTTCTAAGTACTTGATAGTCTACATTCCAGAGTTTTGAAGGAGATGGCTATTGGGATAGTCATGTGTTGGTGCTCATCTTCCAAATTCTTAGATTCTGGAATGATCCCTGCAGATTGAAAGCTTGCAAATGTCACTCTAGTATTTGAGAAAGGAACAGGGGAAAAGACAAAAGAACTACAAACCTGTCAGTGTTGCGTCAATAGTAAAGAAAATGCTAGAATCTATCATAAAGGAAATAATAAATGGAAACTTGGATTAAAAGAAAATCTAATTTGGCATAGTCAGCATAAATTTATGAATGGATAATAGTGCTTGAGAAACATTTTGAAACATTTCAGGGGTGTATCAGAAGAAATGTATTTTCATAGTATAAGGATTGGCTATCAGACAGAAAACAGTGTAGGAATAAATGGCGCATTCTCAAATTGGCAGACTGTCTAGTGGCGTACTGAAAAAAAAAAAAAAAAAAATCAGTACTTGGGGCTCCAGCTGTTCAAAAATATCTGTCAATGATTTGGAGTTAGGAAGGGCTGTTGTAGCACAGTGTTAGTGTTCCTACTTCTGGGCCAGGATGTTGGGGCTCAAGATCCACCTACTCCAGAGATGTACCTGAACAGTTTGATTAAAATATCTGGAGTCGGGGGGACGAAATGTAGTATGTCCAAAATTGCAGGTGATGCAAAGCTAAGTGGGAAATGTTGTGAAGAAGAAAGAATATGTAAAGCAGCTTCAGGAAGACTTGGTCAGGCTTTGTGAATTGGCAGGGACATGGAATATAACATGTAAAAACGTGAGATTACTCATTTTGGAAACCGGATATTTCTTATATGTGATGAGGGAGGAAGCCGTATGTGTGCAGGGGAGTTGTTGGAGGTGGAGCCTGTACATGTGGGAGTGTCCTTGTGAGGGCTAGGAGAAGGAAGGGCAATGCATGGCAGTGGGAATGAGGGATAGGGAAATGGGAGGGCGAGTGCAGTGGTTAGTGTTTATTTTGATATTCATGATTACTGTTGCGACAAACCTTCTCTTTCTGAAATCTGCTCAGTGGCTTCTTGACTGAGGTCGCATTGGTTCCCTTTCCAACATTCATTTGATCTCTACTGAGACCTTAACTGGAGCATATAAGTTTGATTTTTGTATCTAGTGAAGGATATTGCCTTGAAACCATGATGAGCGATTTCCCCATTGCCCTGTGAATGTTTTGACTCCTGGTGAATGGGTGAGTAATGTGCATAAATGATAAAGAACTGAGACAAAGAAACAAGTGTCTGAAAAAGAGGGGATCAAACATGTTAAATCTGAACATAGAATTCAACTGATCCTTTAACTTTTAAGAACTGGCATGAAACTTGTTTGCAGTAATCGAAGATTAAGTGATTTTTAATTCCCAAGATGTGGTTATCATGAATCTAAGCCTGTAACATGATTAAAGTGGTGCAAAAATACTGCACTAAACAGATAAAACCTGCATCATGATGTTATAGGTAAGATTAAGTATTAAACTGATAATGTTAAAGTTATTAAGTTTGTAAGAAATGGGCCACCTGGGTTTGTTGCTTGGGAACAGAGAGGTCATGAAGCTGAGATTATTAGCTCGTTAGCTATGTGAGGGCCGAACAGAGAACTTGCACTAAGATGATCAAAAAGCTTGGCGAAGCTGCCAAGATAAAACTGGCCAATCGCCAAGCCTGAAAAAGGCAGGTTCAGCCACACTAAAGTTGATCATGTGGGTAGCAAGGAACTGTGCCTGGGATACTAGCTAGCTAGCTTACGACAAAGTAGTCTATCAACTATTTGGAGAGTAGAAGGAGAAAATTGATCATTCTCTCCGTTCCGACTCTCAGACAAGCCCCAGGTGTGGCCATAAGTCTGCGTGTAAGTGACTTTTTGTATTTTGAATAAATATGTCGTGCACAAACTCTTGTGGCACAGATATAGTGTCCATATCTTTGGCCAAAAGATACAGGTTTAAGTCCGACCTGACAGGGGTGTGTCCCAACCAATCAGAATGGTTTATTTTAAAATAATTTCTAGGACTCTTGCGGTACAGTGACCCCATATCTAAACCAGAACCTCTGGGTTCAAATTACCACTTCAGAGGTCTCTCATAGCAATGTTATTAAAAATAATTCTAAATGCGAGTTATTTCATTACACTGTAAAAATATGCTGTATGAATTGATACTCTAGGGGAAGGCAGTGGTGTAGCAGTATGTGGTATGTCACTGAACTAGTTATCCAGAATAGGTTAATGTTCTGGGAACATTGGTTTGAATCCTGTCAAGGCAAGTGCTGAAATTTGAATTGGATAAAAATCTGGAATAAAAGAGAGCTAGCCTAATGGTAACCATGTAACTACTGCTGATTGTCATTAAAAACCCATCTGGTTCACTAATGTCCTTCAGGAAAGGAAAACTGCTGTCCTTCGCTGGTCTGGCTTACATTTTTCTCCAAACCCACAGCCATGTCTCTTAACATGACTCTTAAATGGGATGGACAATAAATACTGACTAGGCCATACCCTGTGAATAATTTATTTTTAAAAGCACTCATTTGGGAGACTCGAGTTGATACCCAAAGTGAACCTCTGAACTAAAAAGGAAATATTAACTTGCAAAATTTAGTAGGTTACAGTTTACATCAAAGATCCCCTGGATTGGTTCCTGGGTTGAAAGCATTATCCCATGACAGGAGACAAGTAAATTGGGCCTATATTCTTTTGCGTTTAGAAGAATGAGTGACCTCAGTAAATTATACAAGATTCTGAAGAGGATTGCCAAAATTGACTCCCCGGCTGAGAAATCTGGAACTTAGGGACAGTCTGAAGATGAATTGATCATCGAGGACTGAGATGAGAAATAACTTCTTCATTCAAAGGGTTGTGATTGTACCCTACCGCTATTCTACACCAGAGAGTTGTGGGTGCTCCATCACTGAAGATACTTGAGGCTAGCTGAAGCATTTTTAAGGTCTTATCAAAAATTTGTAGCTCGGGTTGTGGATGCAGTTGATCGTTAGCAACGTTAGAATGCTACCCTACATCAAAAATTTAATCGGAACTCACTACCAAACTCAAAAGACCGCATAGATCATGATTGCACACAATTTCAAATGGGAAATTGATAAAGAAGATAAAAGCACACTAAATCCAGAGTAATTTGCATGCTACATCCAAAATTGGCTTAGTGGTAGAAAACTGGTTGTGGTAGAAGGCTGTTTGAGACTGGAGGATGGTGTCCAGTGGCTTACCCACAGAAATCAGTGCTGACTCCCTTATTGTTTGTGCCATATATAAATGACATAGAAGAAAATGTGGGGCAATGATAAGTATATTTGCAGATGACACGAAGATTGGCTGGGTGGCTGACGGTGAGGAATGAAGTCTTAGACTACAGGAAGATATAGCCAGATTGATCGCATGGGAAGATCAGTGGCAGATGGAATTTAACTCCAATATGCTTCAGGGGATACAATTTGGAAGAAGTAACAAGACAATGGATATTCAGTGACTGGTAGGTCACTAGGAAGCTCTGAGGAACAGCGGGACCTTGTCCATAGATCCCTGAAGGCAGGAGGACCGGTTAAAAGAAAAGTTAAGGGGGACACATGCGGGACACTTGCCTTTATCAGCCATGGCATAGATTGTAACAGCAGGGAGTTTATGTTGGAGCTGTACAGAACTTTGCTGAGGCTACAGCTGCAGCATAATGACAGGAACTGTACATCACACTATAAAGAAAGATGTGATTGCACTGGAGGGAATGCCAAGGAGACTCACCAGGATGTTGCCTAGGAGGGAGCAGTTTAGCTATGAAATGAAGCTAGATAAGCTCAGGTTGTCTTCTTTAGAGCAGGGAAGGCTGAGAGGGGGCCTCATGAGGTGTAAAATATTATGAGGGGCATGGACAGGGTGAATAGAAAATAGTTGAAGTGTCAAAACCTGAGAATTAAACTAACTTACATTTACCAGATATTAGTGGACATAATCCAGTAGGATGCAGTGCAAGCAGAGCTGTTATAAAGGACAGCTCTACCTCGCAATGTACGGACAGGGAAGGAATTGATGGAAGGATGGGCTTCTAACTTCCAGTGCAACAGAAGAACAAAGACTGACACGCTCAACGTCAGCTTGAAAGTTGCAGAAAGGCTGAGCTCTACGGTGGAAATTTAGAACGAGTTTAATATCAACTTTGGCTGACCAGAAAAGGAAAACATTCAGACTGTTGTCCAAGTAAAGGTTCCTGGTTACTTCACATTACAGAAAGCGAAATAAAGACTTCGTAAAAAAACGTTTCAGTTGCTACTCTAATCATTCATTGATATTCTTTAAACTAAACCAGTTTATCTTTACATTTGTTTAATCTCACCAGAGTATCATCAGTCCAGCCTTTCAAATTCTGAGGAAATGAACAGGATTACGATATCTAGAGAATGTGCAACAAAAGAGGATCTCATCTTTTGCTACTCAGCTGGGATTTCCAGAACTTTATGGGAGCCATTTAGCTAAGTGTGTAACATATCTGTTTCATGATCACCAGTGAATTGAGTAGTCTGATTACACAAAGTCACATACATGAATTATAACTGGTTAGGCAAGATAAGTAAGGATGGTTGGGTACTGCACCTCAGCAAGAGGAGATCAACACGTTTAGAAGGGAACCAAGAATAAAAATCTTCCAAGAATATGCCCAAAAATTTATGTACCTTTGCTATTCTCTCATGCATCCTTGCTTTACGGTCATTCCCATCAGCTTTAGCTTGAGCTGCTGCTGTCTTATATTTCTCCATTCTTTGATGTAGAGCTTCTATAACATCTTTAGGTGGCGGAGGTAGGCCTAAAATTACAACATCACATATCCGACTAAGTTAACAGATACTCAGTAGAAATTATTGAGTTACACTGCCAAAAGCTGTTATGCATTTAGCTACCAGTTTGAAGAAGTAATTTTGCTGACTTCAATTTGCAGCATTTCCCCCCTCCCACATTCTCTATCCACTGTTCCTCTCCTATCCACCTTTTTTCTTGTCCACTCTAGTGGCTCCTCTCCCATCCCAAGGTTGAATGATCTCTCTGCTCTCCAGCCCTGTTTGAATTGAATAACGCCCTTCGCTGGGACCCATATGCAACACCATTTACGCAGTGCCCCTTGACAGTCAATGACATTACCATCACTGACTTGCTTATTTCAACATCTTGGGGGTGACCTTTGACCAGAACCTGACCTGGACTAGCCTAACAAGTACTGCGGCTCAAAGAGCAAGCCAGCAGCTAGCAATTCTTGCAGCAAGTAACTTACCACCTGACTCCCGAAGCCTACCCGACATACACAAGGCGTAAGTCAGGAGGGTGATGGAATATCCCCTCAGTTGTTTGGATGCATCCAGTTCCAACAACATTCAGGAATCCTGAGACCATACAACATGAAGCAACCCACTTGACTGGCACCACATCCACAAACATTCACTTCCTCAACACTGACATTCAATAGCAGCTATATATACCATTTACAAGATGTCCTGCAGAAATTCACTAAGGATCCTCAGACAACTCCCATTACCACAATCATCTGCGACAAGGTCAGGAGACACATAAGACCACCACCTGCAAGCTCCCCTCCAAGATGTATACCATCTGAACTTGGAAATATCAGGTTTTTCAGTGCTGTTGGGTCAAAATCATGGAACTCCCTCCTTTACAGTATTATCTACATCAAATGGACTGCAGTGGTTAAAAAAGGCAGCTCATCACTATTACATTCCAAGAAGGAGCAGCAGGCAGCAAAATTAGACTAAGCTGCTTCCCACTCAAAATGGTTGACAACAACATGACATCAAGTGATCAATCTCAAAGTGATTGTCCACCATGTTATCAAATACACAAAAAACATCACCTTCTCAAGGGTAACTAGGGATGAGAATAAATGCTGGCCTAGCCAGTGATGTCTACATCCTGCAAATAAAAGAAAGATTTTCTCAATCCAGCTTTATGTGATGATTCAATCCCATATACCATTTCTAAGACATATCATTCTTTCTGGGGAATTGTACTAGTATATTAACAGGGGCCAAGCAGTGTCTACTTAGTTCCCCAGGTAGCACTGCGCCTCATGGGAGAATTGCTACGAAGAACTCACCTCCTATCACTATGGCAGAACTTGATAGGCATACACAGGTTGCCATTGATACAAAGCATTTAATAGAAAGCAAACATTATGTAACAAAATATGACACCTTGAAGCAGAAGATCTAAACTTTACTTCTGTAATGTTTAAGATTCAAGTCCCTAAACCCACAAATATTTGGTCAAATTATAATGGGGAATAAAAATATGCACATCACAAAAATGACAAAAAAATTGAAGAGGAAGCTTGGGTAAAGTTTTCTGACATTCTAATACCGAGTCCAGATTCATGGGTTATATATCAACTGAAGGAAAAAAAGCTAAATTCCAAAAAGATTTAACAACTAGCTATTCTATTATCTGCACAGAAACTTATCAATTGTATAGTCGTAAAACCCTACACAAGAAAGAAAGTGCTACACAACTTGCGTGAAGCGTTTAATGTTTGAAACACTCAGATTCTAGAACTCTTGACAATCTATGATTAAAATCAAAGATTCTTAAGTCGGAAGAAAATTATATATTACAATCCGAGAGTTTTAAGGCTAATTGGTCAAAACTGTAGATTTAAGGTTCAGAATAGCATGCATTTCTAGATAACAATAAAGAATAATCTCTCAACTCTGCAACAATAACAACGTTAGATCCAGAAAATTCTGTAAGGTTTTTAGCTAAGTAAAATGTTTCCATTTATATTTTTCCAAGTACACTGCTAACTGAATAAACACGTCAAGAACATGAAACATTTAAAAACAAAGTTGTCAGCTTTAGTTGTTTTCTGCATTTCTCCAAATTTTGCCAGTACTTGCTGTTGACTGCACTAAACAGAGGCACCCAAAACTTTGAAGCCTCAATGCAAGATATGACCTGAAGTTTTAAACTCCCATAGCATTAATTCTCTGCATTTTTAAAATTATAAATTTGAAATACTTGTTTTTCTCACGAAAACAACCAAAGCTACTGTGCTTTATTACAGATTACATATTAGTAGATCATGGAAGATCACAAAGTTTAGAGAATCCCTACAGTGCAGAAAGGGGTCATTTGGCCCATCAAGTCCACATCAGCCCTCCAAAGAGCATTCCACCCAGATGCCCACTCTACCCCCATAACCCAGTGTTTTTTTTATGGCTAATCCACCCCGCCTACACATCTCTGGACACCACAGACAATTTAACATGGCCAATCCACCTAACCGACACACCTTTGGACTGTGGGAGCACCTGGAGGAAACCCAGAGACGATGGTACAGCATGCAAATTCCACACAGTAACCCAAGCCTAGGATTGAACCTTGGTCCCTGGTGCTAAGGCAACAGTGTTAACCACCAACCCACTGTGCCACCTTTAGTATTATGTATCAATACATTATTACATATCAATGACTTTTACAGTGTACAGTTAGACACACCATACCGGATTCTACAGTGACTTGATGTTCAGTTTTCAAATCCTTTCCCTGCTGATCCGGAAGAGTTACTACACTTGAAGGATTGAGTGATTTTTCCTGGGCTGAAGTATCTGTCAAAGCTTTTGAACACATTTTTAAAAGTTTATAACAGTTACTTTATGATATGCAGTAATAAGCCTGCATTCAGTTTTAGTTTCAAAGCACAGCAAACCTTTAATCTGACAGACCATCAGTTAATTGAACTGCAGCAGCTAACAAACATTTAAGTTAAGTTATTAGTCTGTCAGGAGGCAGAACTGCGCTATACGAGTGATGGTTCCAAGCTTTAAATAGTTGATCAGCTTTTTGCCAAAATCGTAATCCATCAATTTCTTTTGTGTATTTACAATGACTTATTCTTGCTGGTTAGTCTATTAATTATGACTAATTACAAATTAGAAAATACAAGTTAAGTGTTCCTGACTTTCCAATCTTGAAATTGCTTTCATGTCTGGCATGTGAAAACATCTATACATGTATGCTCAAACCTTTGAGTCTTTATAAGACACATGTTGAGAATGGATCTGATGAACTTCACCTAGCGCCCAAGCATGCCAAATAGCTGAGAGAATAAATACGCAGCAAAATGTAGTGGAACACTATTTTTGGAAGGTTTCAGGTTCCTTTCTTGAGTCAGTTGACATCAGCCAGTAAGCCAGCTGGAGATATTGTTCATGGGAATCAATGTGAAAAGCCATAATGCAGAATCACATTTCTGTTCAGCCCTGACAATTTGCTTTCAACTTGCTAATATTATATGAGGTGCCCTAATAACTGTTCCTGAAGCAGGCATTAAGGGAGCCAAATCCTTGTGTTGATTCCTGTCAGAATGTGTTACATTTGAGGGAGAAAGAGGCAAGATGAAAGTAAAGGCCAGACCATATATTTTGGCAGGAAAAACTGTTATAGAGTCAGTGTCATACAGCATGGAAACAGACCCTTCAGTCCAACCAGTCTGTGCTGAACACAATTCCAAGCTAAACTAGTCCCAACTGCCTGCTCCTGGCCCATATCCTTCCAAACCTTTCCTATTCATGTGCTTATCTAAATGTCTTTTAAACATAATTGTACCCACATCCACCAGTTCCTCAGGAAGTTCATTCCACATACGAACCACCCTCTAAAAAAATTTGCACCTCATGTCTTTTTTTAAGTCTCTCTCCCCTCCCTTTAAAAATGGGCCCCCCTACGCTTGAAATCACCCATCCTAGGGAAAAGACAATTACCATTAATTCTACCTATGCCCTTCATTTTTTTTTTAAAACTTCTGTAAGGTCGCCTTTCAATGTCCTATGCTCCAGTGAATAAAGTCCCAGTCTATCCAGCCTTTCTTTACAACTCAAGCCTTCCATACCCAGTAACATCCTTGTAAATCTCTTCTGAGCCCTTTCCAGCTTATTAATATCCTTCCTGTAAACGGGCGACCAGAACTGGACACAATATTCTGGAAGAGGCCTCACCAACATCCTGTACGACCTCAACATGATTTCCCAACTCCTATACTCAAAGGACTGAGCAATGAAGGCAAGCATAATAAACACCTTTTTAACCAACCTGTCTATATGCAGCGCAAACTTAAAGAATTATATTTCCGAACCCCTAGGTCCCTGTTCTACAGCACAACCCATCCTGTTATTACTATGAAGATCTGATTGTTGCCCTGCATTCCTGCCATACATATGCTGCACCAATTTATATGTTAAATTTTTGAAGGGAACAGATTTCCTGGGATTCTCTGACTAACAAACCAGCATGTACAAAGTTCAACGGTTCTACTCAAAAGAAGAGGAATGTGAGCATGTTAGAATAATTCTTGTAAAAGCTCCCAACCTACTTCAACTGTAGTCAGGGTGGAGGATAGCGGACAATAATTGACACCAATATAATTCTGCCTGTTCAATAATGTATGATGGAATTTTGGTAAATTCATGAAAATATCCTATTATCAAAATGGCTCATTTGGAAAGTATACTAAACTGTAGCACTACATCTATACAAGACTGTAACTTTAGAAGGGAACTTTTATTAAAACATTAATAACTAATCATTCAGGATTGTTGAAATTGCTGCTTACAATTAGAGGACTTGTGAGATCTTAAGTGAAGAAACAGAATTTAAATCTGTGCACAAGTAAAGGAATTTTAAGTATTTCAATATAGTTTAGCACTGGATACAGAGATAGACTAAATGCATTAGACTAAAATGAATTGCTGTGAGACTTGTGCATTTGCACTTGAAAGTGATTGACACTACGACAGAACTGAACATATTGTGATCAGCTCAGAACAGAGCAACATGAAAAAAAAACATAAAACCTCTGCAGCATTACAATATTGTGTAGTAGTACAATAAATTTTGAGAAAGAGCTTAAAAATAACTAAAGATCTAGATTTGCCTCTAAATTACAACACACTAACACAGGAAAAGTGTAATTTTATAACTGTGCAAAAACAAAGCCAACAAATCTACAATATTACAAATCTACGCATTCGCACCTGTTGGTGATGGTGGCAGGTTAGTCAGATCCACAGGCTCCCCGCTGTCCAAAGCCTTTATCACAGCATCAAATTTCTGAAGAAACAAGAAATGGAAAACACTTACAATTTTAAATTTGTGTACATCCATTCAAATTACAAATGGCACAGTTATAATAGTCCAAAATAATTGCATCTGTAGGCAGAACGCAAGGATAGTAATTCAACCCGAAAAAAAAAGCTGCACGCCTTCAGCATGTCATGCAACATCTCTGGAAAAACCAACCCAGTTTTTTTAAGTTAATTATCTTTCATCAAAACCATCAACTGCAAGGTTTTCTGTTTCTTTCCAGATAAATACTGCCTGGCTTGCTGAGATTTTCTTACATTTCCGGCTCGTATTTCAGCTGATACCCTAAACCTGACAAAAGTGTCTTTCAAAACATATTATTCTACGTTAGCAAATCCGTTTTCCTTCAAGGCTCAATTATTCTTAGGCGAGTAGAGAATCACATCAGAGTTTAACTGGTCAGCCCTGCTTGGTCAATGAGCTTTAGAGATTGAAATGTGCTCATCAGTCTGAGGCTACGACGCAAAAGCAACAAATGATTTTGAACTATTCTGCATCTGTAATAAGAGTTGCGTCTGCAAGACTAGTCAATATACACATTTAAATAAACTTTAAAATTAATGCACTCAGTTTTAAAAGTGAGAAATACTTTGCTATTGCGCACACTACAATTTATTTGCAATTTACTTTTCCCCCTTTTCTTTGCAGTATACATTTCCTAAAAAGAATGGTTGGAAAACTGATCCCAAGTATCAATCACTCTCAATTTTTAATACCCTACTATAATGTTAAGGGTGTAGCACAGGTTATTCTGATTGGCTCTTCCTTCCTCAGTGATCTTGTCTTTTTTCCACCGTCATAGCTGTTGTTGACAAAATTAATCATAAACTAACTTTTAATAGAACCAGACATACATCTCACTGCAGGCAGTGATATTGATATCCAACTTCGTTCCTCGGATATTAATTTTCATTAATTCTATAAAACACTGTCAATGAAAGCTTGACTCTACCTTGAAAATGTTGCAAACAAAATCTATGTAAACATTTTTCATAAGTCCATTTTATAATGGTTCCATTTCTGCAAATTTTCAATTTCAAGTGAATTCGAAATTACTTTACAACAGTGAATGGATTTTTTTTTAAAAATGAAAAAGCTTTACTTTGCTGATTTTCATGTATTCTTTAGCTTGTGTGATGTCTCCCGCCTGTTTTGCTCTCAGTGCAGCCAGTTTATACTCCTTCTGTCTCCCAAACAATAATACTTTTGTTTTTGTTTCACCACTTCCTGCAAAGCATAGAAACAAAACTACCTTTAAAAAGAACAACCAAATACATTTGCATCAAGACTGGCTTCAAATGACTCTTTCAGATCATATTCCTAAGTTGAATCTGAGTATAATTCAAAAATTAATGAAAAGAAATGATTCGACATTGATCCAACAAGTGCAAGTTAAGAAACTGTTACTGCTTCCAACATTAGTGAACTTTCTCCATTAGTCCAAAAAAAAAAAATCGAGAAGAATGCGTGTAGTGAGGAAAGTCTGAGTTCAGAACTTATGCTTCCATACATCTTGCATAATCTGCCCTACCATAGTTTCCACTTAATTTACTTAAAACAAAAGCAAATCCTGTAAATGTATAATCATTTGATACTTTACCTGGGTTGTCATTATGTGCTGTATCAGTAGTGGACACATCAACAGTCTCGGACTGAACAGGAGTTACAGAGGCTGTAATGTTTGAAGGCTCAGGCACTAAAGACTTCACAGGTAACGCAGTAACACTTGGTTTAGGTAGAAGCACCTCATTTGCTGGTGTTAGGGTATCCTGATGCATTTCAGCTATTCCATCTTCCAAATCTTTTGCATTTAAACTATCAGACTCGAGTACTGAGGCACTGCTTTTACCAGTTGCAACTGGGGGAGGAATTTCTGCTTCCTCTATCGTTTTACCCTTCTTTGCAGAAACCAGCAGTGTCTGCAACGTCTATAAATCAAAATAAACCGAATGAAGATTGCAATATCCTTGCTACATTAAATATAAAACACAGATTTTAAAATTTACTAAAAAAAGTGTTTTCATGACTAAAAGGGTTTTGCAAGTAATTGAGTAAATTACTCACGATGGATGGAACAGCTTCTCAATATACTTATGAAGCACTGCAGACTTTGTTATGAAAAGCTCCAACGACAAATTCAAAACTAGGTTTTGAGGGCATAACGCTTTATTTGTAAAGCGACTCAAGAGAGCCCTATAGAAGCTTGAACTACTCTAGCTTCACAGCTTAAAAGCTATATGGAAGACAGAATGCAAACTGTTTAAGGTATACCTTTAATCCTCGTTCATATCGCCTCAGTTTTGATGTCTCTCCAGTTTGCTTTGCATTACTAATTGCAATTCTATACATCTGGAGTCTGTCTTCCAGTGTATTTTGTAATCCAGTATTAACAGTAACTATATTTGACTTGGAAAAAAAGAAAAGCAATTTTAGCTATTAGGTAACACTTTCAGACTAAATGCTGAAGATTTCATCCTTATTTAAGTGACTCAACATTTTGTAAATGTGTTTTTGTTTCCTGTTCACGAAGTATTTACTACCAATGCAACCTACAAATGACCACCAATTCCCTCTCTTGGATCGGTGTTCTGAAAACAGTTAAAGGAAAAAAAATACCAAACCTCAATGCATGCTGGATTTTTAAAAATTTCATCAGTGGTTTTATAGAATGGGGTGATATTTTGTTCCCCTTACTTACAAAACACACTATGTGCTAATACGATTATAATTGGCTGGACCAGAAAATGACCCTTGTTTCCCTTTTGGAAGCTGTTTATCCCAAAGAAATAACACCGAAGAAGAGATACACCACCGAAATTCCACTTCAGATTTTTCAGAATCATGATGTCAGATCCAATGCTAAAGCCAAAGTTTGTTAGGTGGTGGTTGTCTTCACATTTCTCTCTAGTGCTGAAGTTTGGACAGCTTACAGACACCATATCAAACGCCTATAACAACATAATCAACACTGTCTTAAAGCATTCACCAAGGCTCAATTGTCAAGGAGAGGTCGTGATATCACATCAGCTGAGATGCATCTTGACTCAAGACTGCCCAAAGAGATGCTTTACATAGCCCACCCAAAGGAGACTGCTCATTCAGGGTGTAGCGAAATTTTCAAAAACAAATCAAAGCCTCCACTAAGGTCTGCTCTACTCACAACACCTGGAAAGCAGATACCAAATCATGATCAATATGGTGATTCATCGTTAATTAACAAATGCAGCTGAGAAAAAACAGCAAGAGAGAAGGAAAGCTGTTCCAGTCAGCAATCTGCAGCCACCCTGCTGGCCAACAATCTCCCCATTAGAGGCAAACCTGCAAGGGCTCATAAGGCATTTCCAAACCCAGTCAATGCTGACATCTCAACTCCAACCAGCCACCTATAAAGAAGAATCATTTTATACTTGAGGCAGTTAATGCAGACTGTGCCAGTGTGATTTAAATTTGAGGACCCTTTTGTGGTTCAGTGGTAGCATCCCTACTCCTGGACCGAGAGGCACAGGTTCAAGCCCCACCTGCTCCAGAGGTGTGCAATAACATCTTTGAACAAGTTGATCAGAAAAATAGGTTAATAAGAAGAAATTAAATATATCTACGCAGTTTGAAGGAAAGGTCTTTCTTATCATAATGCTTTCCGAGTAGAAATACTTAGTACTAATTCAGGTAACCAGATCACCACACAACAATCAACCTGAACTACAAGTTTTAGTTCAGAATAAGCTGACAGATTATAATGTAACCAGTGTAAACATTAGGCTAGCTTTCAAATTGCACACAGACTTCCAGGAAGACACACTGGATTTATTTTACTGAGCCTGAACTGAGATTAAATAATAAAAGAACTGTAGATGTTGGAAATATAAGACAAAACAAATTGAAGAAACTCAGCGGGTCAGGCAGCATCTATGGATAGAAAACAGAGTTAATGTTATGAGAACAGTGAAGGAAAAGAGGCACTGGACTCAAAACATTAACTGTGTTCCTTCCAAGCTGCTGCGAGATCTACTAAGTTTCCCCCAGCAGTTTCTGTTTTTGTTGTCGAAATGAGCTTAACAATGATTAACTCAACTTACTCTCTAAGTTGCAAGAGGTTAAGATCTTGTTATTCAGTTTCTGAAGCTATCCCATTGATACCCGCCTAGTGCCATTTCTCTGTTGAAGTCGATTAGAATTGCAACACTAGTCAGAAATGCCTACTTTTGGAAAATGTTAGAATCATCACTGATTTTTCAATATTTTTGTTTTGTTCTTTAATCAATTTTGGTTTAGAGCTGTGAAATGTGAGCTATAGATAATGCTTGGACTGAGGATAACACCTTGTGTTAAAAAAGGAACATCGACCAAACACACTTTTCTTTACATAGGACTGCAATCAACATCTTCAGAAAAATCAACTCAAGAAACCATCATTCATGCCTGCGAAACAGTACATCGTGAAAACTACAAGTAATTTGACCAGTTTTGTTTTTTGTAGTTATCCCTTAACTATGTTTGTCTGTCTGCTTTTTGTATGAATGGGGCTGAAAACAAAGGTTTTTGGTTTTAAAACATGTAATTAGATAACTTTGAATTTAATTTTACTCTGCTAAAGTTACCATATTGTTAATAAGTTGCATTTTGTTTTACATACAAACCAGTATATGGAATTGATTATTCGCAAAGTCTAGGATGGGGTATTCAGAAGTCGGTCAGGAACCACCGAGGTCAATTTTGAGGGTCTTTGATGGTTTTAATTTTACTGCTTTGCGAATACAGACGTGGAAAGGATGATTGGTTTGATTGTGTGTTGTAACAAAAGGTAACATGCTTGTAGATGTTCTTGTCATGTATTCATCACTCTAGAATCATTCTTATACCAAATCAAAGTTTAAAAGTCTAAAAGAATGCTTAAAATGAGGAGAGAGAATTATTTATGTTCTAGGTTCCAAGAAGAAAATAACAATTTACTTCTGAAACATTTCCAGCACTGCAAGGATTTCAGAAAATGATCAGTAAGGATAACAAATTCACTCAACAACCGTGCACTAAAATTTATTCAACCACACTTTTAAAAATTAAACTTTGGCTTTACTGAGATTCTTTAGGGTCAACATCACATGATGTATCACTAAAGATGGAGTCTTTTCAGTAAGTAGTTCCAAAAAGAATAAGTCTTTCTTTTTAACATTAAAAAACAAGGTTTACCTGAGGCTGAGAGACAGTACATTGATTCACTGGATCCAAACCAGACTCTGTGGGAACAGAGGGATTTGCAAATTGTTTCTGCTCCTCTTCCACCACCTCCTCTTTCTGAACCATTTCCTTCAGTTCTGCCTTAGTTATAAAATAAATAATTTTCCTTATGGTTTATGCAGACACCTAAATAGATATTTTCTTTAGCTCACTCTTCTTCGTTTACAATATACCATCCAGTACAAAATGACTGCAAAATATAGTTTACTTAAATGGAAACAACAAAGTCACAACTGGAATATTAAAGTTGCAACCTCTTGTTATACCTTCAACCTGTGAAATGCTAACAAGGAGCTTGAAATACCAGAGGGGCGGGTACGATGTCTAGGATTTAATTTAAGAAACAAAACAAAGGAATGAATTAATATAATTCAGTAGGATACAATGATGTGGAGGTGCTGGTGTTGGACTGGGGTGGACAAGGTCAGAAATCATGCAACACCAGGTTATAGTCTAACAGGTTTATTTGAAAACACAAGCTTTTGGAGTGTAGCCCCTTCGTCAGATGAAGTGAGAAAGCAGCACAACACAGAATTTAAATGAAGGATCACAGGGTCACACAACTGATGAGAATGAATTAAATAAACCTAAGATGATGTTAAATCTTTAATCAGTTAGAAGGCTTTAATTGATTAATACGTGTACGTAAATCTCTAAATTTCTTTCAAGTCAGTGCCCCGAGAGAACAAAAGGTTTTTAAATCAGTGTAAATAAGAGGTGAAACTTCAGGTCAGACAGTGCATGTTAGGTTTGAGGCCTTGTTTCGAATCTGTTTTTGTTTTGGTTTGGAGTCAGACTGGTTTCTTCTCGAAAGTAGGAATTTGTAAGACGCCACTTTGACCGTCTACAAATTGTATTCTTTTTGAAGAAAATAGAATATATCTGCAAATAACAAATTCACCCCATACGTGTGTGTGTGTGTGAGACAGAGAGAGAGTGAGCGAGACAGAGACGGGACAAAGGCAGAGGGGGGGGAAGGAGGGGGTGTGTTAATTCGCAAATTGAACAATATTTGAAAATATCATTGCTCTGATTGGAATTCTTACTTATCATGGTCTCCAATAATGTATTTACTTATCAAAGTTATAGCCTAAAAAATAATTTACCAAGAGTTCCTCATCATCTTCCAAATCATCATCATCAACATTTTCATCTATATCCTTCAGACATTCCTCAGCCATCTGTTCTATATGGTCCATTGGCAAAGGTACTGTGGATAAAATGCATAAGAATCAAAGAAAGTCTTGACTTAGATTTTGAAGCCATATTCAAATAACTGATGGTAAAATATTTGACAAAGGAAACTGCAGAACATTTGATATAATAACAATAATGCGATAAAAATACCTAGTTAAAGTGCCTTACTACAGGAAATATAGATCAACAGCCAGTCAGC